GAACTCATTCAAATCAAGGTGGATAGAAGAGTTATCTTTTAATTCTTTGAACTTAGCACACGTTCTCCTTAAGAGTTCAGATCTCAAGAGTTGACAATATAGATCTGCTCCCTCTACAAGTATCTACATGAACAGCTCTCTAACTCTAACAGCATGCTAGTGCTCCCAGCGTCCGTTCTTCTTTGAATGTTAGTTTCTTTCTATAAGGTGTTTCGTGTCATAAGATTCAAAATCAAACAAGTTGAAAAGTCCATCTTGATGGTGCTTAGAAATGTGTTTCTCATTTATATGGCCGAAACGACAATGCCATAGGTAGGTTGGATCAAATCGTTCGATTTGATCCTTTTGGTAATTACATTATAGATGTCTTCATTACCAGAATGTTCTAGATTTAAAAGATAATGACGAAAATGCAAATCACCATTAGCATAAAAAATGTCATTTCAATAAATAAAACATTTACCATTCCCAGTAAAGGAAGTAAAACCTTCCTTATCCAAATAAGAAAGAGAAACAATGTTACTACTCAAAACAGGAACATAATAGCAATTGTTCAAAACTAACAAAAGCCCACTAGGCAAAAGTAATTCATAAGTGCCTATGGCTAAAGCAACAACTCTTGCTCTGTTTCCAACTCGTAGGTCCACTTTGCCCTTCATCAACTTTCTACTATTTCTGAGACCCTGCACATTTGTACAAATATGAGAACCACATGCAGTATCTAATATCCATGCAGAAGAAGTAGAAAGGTGAATGTCTATAACATAAATACCTGAAGAAGTAGCCTCGCTATCCTTCTTTTTCAGATCTTCCAGGTAGAGCTTGTAGTTCCTCTTCCAATGACCCGATTCATTGCAAAAGAAGCAAACTCCTTCCTTTAGAGGCTTTGCCTTCTTGGCTAGAGGCTTAGTTTCGGGCTTGTTTGACTCTTTGGTCTTACCATCTGAGCCTTTATCCTTTCCCTTGCCCTTGCCTTTGCCTTTCTTTTTCATACCCTTTCCTTTTTGAACCACCTAAACAGTATTAGGCTTTTTCTTAATGTTTTTGCTCAGCAGTTTTAAGCACCCCACGTAGTTCAAAAATGGATTTCTCTATGTCATTCATGTTATAGTTCATAACAAATTGGTCATAACTTTCCGAGAGTGAGTTCAAGATCAAATCTGTAGCCAAATCCTGGCTTAAAGGAAATCCAAGCCTCTCAAGGTGATCAATATAGCTCTTTATCTTTAAAACATGAGTGTTAACTGATACACCCTCAGCCATCTTGCAGGAGTGTAAGGCCTTTGTAGTCTTATACCTCTCTTGCCTTGCCTGTTGCTAGAACATATCCTTAAGATATACAATCATCTCATAAGCTTCCACGTGTTCCTAATCTCTTTAAAGTTCTAAAACCATGGTAGCTAGCATTAGGCATCCTACATCTACCGAGTCATTGGTATGCTTTGTGTAAGCATCCCTTTGAGCTCTTGAAGCGTTGGCTGCAGGTTCCTCAAGAATGGGTTCATCTAGGACATAAGCCTTTCTTTGCTACTTGATAACAATTCTCAAGTTCCTGAACCAATCAAGAAAGTTCATCTTATTGAGTTTTTCCTTTTTAAGGACTGATTGCAGCGATAGTGTAGCAGTGGTACTATCGACATGATTCTACAATAAAATACACAAAGTTAATTTTATATCTCCTACTAAAACTAACAACCCTCAAATTTGATTAGTAGGCTAAGACCTATATGTCACTTGAATTTAAGTCCACTTTGACAGTTATTTAGGTAGGTAACTCATTTACTAATTACATCACATGTAACTCTTAGATCGTTATGGATTCAATCATCATAAGATTCAGCATGTTCAATCCCATCTAATGCCTTTAAGATTCAAAACTATTTTGATATTCTCAATTAAGTCAGACAATAATGAACCTTTTTAAGTAGCACCATTACTCATGTTTGTCTCACCAAGATAACCTAAATGAATCTACTTTAGTGAATCCTACATTTGAGTGATCTAGATTTTGATAAATATTCATTAATTGATGTCATTATAACTTGAGATTTTAATTAGAGGGTTTGATTTATTAATTTAATATTCGTGTAAATTTAAAGCAATTGTATCTCATACAAAACCATGCATATTATGATCTAATCAAAAGCATAATTAAAATTGATACAATATGGCTCACCTAACTTATGTCCTTCCCAAGCCAATGAGAGAAACCTCTCTAAGAAAATGAATTACATCAAGAAACCTCATTTATACATATGAGGGAATTGGGATGAGAAGAGAATGTACATTTAGAGTTTATAGAGAGAGGCACGAGGTGCAGGCCATATTTAAAAATTACAACTCTTGTAAAACTAGAGCCATATGTGTCACCATACCCAAATAACTTCAAGACAAAGAAAAGACAACAAATAAACATTCATATATAATGAAAGGCTATAAATTGTGAATTATGTTGTGCTACATAGAGTTAGCCACGGCGGTCTTGCTAGCTAGTTAGTCATATTTCGAAAAGCTTATTCTCTTTAAATGAGTTACTGCCTCAAACCCTTTGGATTCATCAATCATATTAATAATCTAGCCTAAACTATATGAGAACGTGAACAAACAATAATGACATTGAGAACGCACATAACATAGCTAAATATTAATCATATTAATGTATTTAAATTCATATAAATTTAAATAGATATAAAATGAGTTTATATGTATATATATATATATGTTTCGAAAACATCACATGAAAAAGATATATAGATTTCAAAAATCTTAAAACAACATTCATCTAAAGAAGTTCCTCACATGAAGATTTAAGAATGTAATCAACCAAAACCCAACTTAAATGAAAATTCGACTTAGCTTTGATACCACTACTAGATAAGGAGGCGCGACGAAAGGTTAAAATTTCAAAGTCCCTATCCTAGTATGGACTGAATGAACTCGTTTAAGTCAAGGTAGATAGAAGAGTTACCATTTAATTCTTTGAACTTGGCACACGTTCTCCTCAAGAGTCTGGATCTCAGGAGCTGACAACGTAGATCTGCTCCCTCTACCAGTCAGTATCTACACGAACAGCTCTCTAACTTGAACAGCATGCTACCGCAACTAACGTCTATTCTTCTTTGAACGTTAGTTTTCTTTCTATCGGGTGTTTCATAGCTCTAAAGTGTTTTCATGGTTAGAACTTTTCTAACTCTCTTATCCTTCATAAAGGACGTCCTTATCTATATATAATATATGGATCAAGGTTTTCATCTTCCACCTAAAAGCTCATGAAATTGAATTAAATTTATCTCATAAATTTAATTCATGATATCATATCTAATTTGAATTTATCTTATAAAATTGACATGATATTCTCTCATATTATGTTAGTTATTAAATTTAATCTATCATATAAAATTAAATTTGAAACTAACATAATATAATATAATATAATATAATATATATCACACATACATATTATATATATATATATGAATATATATATATATCATATATATTTAATTTTATATATCATATACATATATCACATATATATATATATATTTGATATATACACACACACACATGAATATATATATATAATTATATTTTAAATTTTATATTTGATATAAATATAAATATTCAAATACACACACACACACATATATATAATTTATTTACCATATATTTAAATTCATTGAATTTAGACATATTCCAAATTCAATAAACTTGGATATTATATCTCGAGTTAGGTTGTTCTTGTGTGTGACCTTGTAGGCCCATATGATATTGGTAGTAGGCTAATTATGCAATTTGTAACATTTGGCCCGAGTGTTATCTAAAATTAAACAATTCAAATAAATTAAGTATGATTAAGGAGTTAATCCTAAAACCAACTTAAGAAACAAACCATTTAAATCACTAAGCAAATACACGATTACAAAATAAACATTTAAACCTTTTTAAATAAAAAAATTTATAGGTTTTACCTATAGCGCACAGAAGCAAGCTAGGCAAAAGCAAGGTAAAAAGATGCTGTCATGACAGCATCAAAATTGTTGTCATGAGAGCCCTCCCAGGCCAACTTTTGGGAGGTGTTGTTTTATCATCTGGTTCCTAATCAAAGAAATTTTAAAGCTCACACGTCACATTCAAAGGGTACTATAAGTATACCAAATTTCAAAAAGATCCAACGGTCAGATTAAAAATTAGACATGTTATAAGTTTGATCATTTTTGTTGTCATGAGAACACCTCCAAACTAACTTCCAGAGTGCACCATTTCATCATCTGACCTTTGATCGAAGCGATTCCAAGCCTACATGTCACTTTTAAAGAGTACTATTAGCATATCAAAATTTGAAAAGATCCAATAAATAGATTAAATTTCGTGTATGTTGCAACATCATCCCTGTTGCTGTCATGACAACACTTTTACTGTCATGAGAGCTCCTCCGTACAAAATTTTAGAGTACACCGTTTCTCCGTCCGATGTCCAATTGATGTGATTCCAAAGTTCACACGAAGCTTAAAAAAAGGTTTTACTTGTGAATCAAATTTTAGAGAAATTCAATGGTCGGATTGAGATTTGAACACCCGGATGCAAAAGTACAGTTTTTTTTTGATAAAAATCATTTTCAAAATTGTCCAAATCTCATCCTAATGGTCACAAACCTATGAGAATACTTTGGACACGTCAAAAAGGACTAAAAACAACCCGATAGAACATTTAAATAATAGAAAAACCCTTTATACCAAAATTTGACCACCCAGATACCTTTCCCAAAATGGACCATAAACCCCCAACATGCACAAATCACACAAGAGTGGCCAAAAACTATTCCAAATATTATATACACATGAATACAAATGCTAAATATTTTCACTTGGTTCAGAAATCTCTGTGGGGCCCATACACCCACTCTCTTTATCCAAGGTGTATGTTTGCCCATAGCACACCATTTGCAATGCAACCACTTTACATTTGCTTGTGGAATCGCATATATAGCGAAATATATATTTTCGTGCAGTGGAAACTTGATTTACTAAATAAATCCATCAAAACGACATACCATAGCTAAGTTTTCTGACCATAAGTCCACAAGCAAACAAAAAATTTATACACAAGCCATACAATCCACATATACTCACACACATATGCATAATCACATCCTACTGGCACCCTAATCCTAAATACAAAACAATAGAATTGCTCAAAAGAAAGGGATTGCAGTTCTTTACAATTCACACACAACCCCTAGCTCTGCTCCTTTCCCCATCCTCCACCGGTTCCTTCACCTGGACCTGAAAATATTGAAAAGAAAGGAGTGAGACAACCACAGTCTCAGTAATAGAGAAATTTATATTGATTATTACAAAGTAAGCCATAATCAAATAAACGAATAATAAATTCAACATAGTATATAATTTAACCATTTAAAATGCATGAATACATGACATAGGCCGGTATGGTCTTTCATGACCAACAGAATGCCCCCTGGCACTCTTTAGCTTGTAGGTAAACCTTGTACCCACTGTACCTCCATAGGCACAACATATAAACTAAGGCATGATCTGATGCACCGAACCGCCTGTGCCCCTTCGATATGAATCCTGAGCAGTCAAAGCTAACTTCCTCCCAGAGCCAGCCCGACTAACTCTCCATGTGAGGGCTACCTTGGCCTAGGCACTCAACCTCACACTTTATATGCCGGATTCCCTCTCCCACTAAGAGCTGTCGAACACTCAATCCACTAACCACTTTAGTGTACTGAGCCCACAATATGAAAGGCAACATTGAGTACTGATAGTGAGCCATAGAATATCACAAGACCACATCTCTTCATTGGTGAACTCTCACCGAGATCATGCTTCTTACCCTTTTTATACCTTTTTCGAGTATTAACCACTTCAACACTCAAGGTATTATAACACTCATAATTCATCCTTAAGTGGTTCCTTAGCCTATCTAAGGTACCAAACCTGATGTACTTCCCTAAGTACAACTCCTCATTTTTTCATAATCGCAATGCATGCTAATAATCTTATTTCTAAAAGTAACATCATTATTAAATAGATAGTAAATATAGATGCATTATTATTAAAGTAATACCCCATAAACCCTTCTAAAACATATTTATTTGCATTCAATATTTAAAACATGTAATAACATGCTAGATAATGTTATCTACTCAAAAATCACAAAGCAATAAGAAATATAAATTTTCCTGTTACCTCAATCCTTTGGTACCAAAAGGGCTCTCCTTGTACAAAATAAAACTTGGCTTGTTCATTAACTTCTCAATAAGTTCTACCAATAATTCCCTACAACATATAAGTGATTTACATTACTTTTTATGGCAAATGGCTTATAAGAAGACTATAACTCATACCACATAACTTAGGTCAATGAGCCATAATCCATCCCAATAGTTCATATATTAAACCAACCATTCACATAATACCACTTAATCACTAAAACCGTTTTATTTGCCACCACTAGGCCAATTTTTAATTCATATAATTTTTAATCAATTAAAAACCTTCACTTAGTATCACCAACTTTTACCATTAGCCCTTATAATGAAAACCAAACTTAGTTTAAATCTATTGAGCTCAAATAGTATGATTATAACTAAATCAATAGGCTTTAACCATTAAAGAGCAAAACCATCCTCTTGAGGTTTGACCTTTACCCTAAAACTCTTTTTTCATCTAATTACCCGCTCAAAACATTACGGCATCATGTAGAAACTCAAAAAAACCTTCCAAGGACCTAAGGAAACTAAAGCTTACAAGAATAAAGCCTTTGGATTAAATTCCAAAAATTTTCTCTTACAAAAATTGAAGAAAATCAAGAGGTAAGGAAGAGAATTAAAGTAGGATGTTTACCTGTTGTGTAGCCGTGCTCACAGTGGCCACAAGCCTCCTAGATCTGAACCTCATTCTCTCTCTTCCTCCTCTCTTCTTCCTCTCTTCTGTTCGTTTCTTTCCATTTCTCTTTGTTCTATTTCGTTTTTGTCCAGTTTTCTTTTAAAAATGCTGATCTGACACTTTGGAAAAAATTACGAGAAAGAGCCCAATATTTTTTATTATAACACAAAAGCCTGGGTCAACTTTAGAGTAATTTTTTTCATAGTTGAAAAATCAAATAAAAACCAAATTTTGTTGAGAAAAATTAAAATTCTGAACCTCTATCAAATTACTCGTAATTTTAATTTAATTATAGATATTTTATTTTATTTTTAAAATAAATTCGAGTCTTTAAATTTTCGGGATGTTACACTATTAGCCCACAAGTCACAAGTGGCCTCTAACAAGATATTGGAACTACCCAATTCACATGAAGATTGATGATCTAATATAGCCTATCATACAACCTTATTACATCCCTTTTGTCATGCCCAATATTTTGGTCAGCATGAGACATGAAATTGTCATTCTCCTTTACCTGACTGTTACTTTCTCGATTTCTAAGTAGACTGACAATAGTAATGGAAAAACCTTTTCCATTGTAGTATGGCCATATGTTTCTCAGTCTTACTTATCGAGAGGCCTAGTAATATCTCTCACCTCATGTGAAGGAAAATTCTCTCTTAATCACCCATATTTCTCTATATGAATATCACTAAACTCAATCATAGCCTTTATGATCACCCAGTCAAAGGTGACTTTTGACTAAGTCAAAGTCCAATGGTCGTCATATAGGAATCCATGATGATCCCAAGTCAAAGGGCTTAGTGATATAGTTCATGCAGCTTTCTTATAGCGAATCAGTCCAACACCTTGTACTCTTTCAACTGCCTATAACTTTGATTTGCATCTCTATAATTAATCAAAGTCATACTAGTCTTGTTTCCTCTGATCCCTCATAGATGACCGATCAGAGACATTTAGGACAATCACTATAGTTTGTCCAAAGATACAGTTGTCATATAGAACATGCAATTGTTATGATAACAAAAGAGAAATTCATTAAATAATAATGTGCATAGTACAATGATTGGCTCTAGGGCACAATTTCCAACACACGACCCTACCGTGAGGAGGTCCAGCAAGAATCCTAATGATTTGGAGCATAGAGCTTGACTTTACCAGGACGAACCTAAGAGAAGAATCTCGATGATCCAGAGCGTAGAGCTTAACTTCGCCACGACAGACGTAGGATATGAAATGATCCACGAGGTTATCCTAGACTAGGGTAGAGGGTCGTGGTCTTACTCTATATAAGGCTAGGAAGTCGTGATGATCCAGAGCATATAATTTAACTCCGCCATGATGGTCCTAAGAACACACCCATACACGAAGAGGATTACTTGGTTTGAGTAGTGGTATGGTAGGCCCTATTCTATTTGACCAGAAGTCCTAGTCCGAGCGTAAAGATTACTCCACTTGCTAGAACTAGGAATGCATTAGCATGAGCATAATGAGATTGATGAGAATGAATTTCTGTATATGCATATGATATTGCTTTTATTAAAACACATGCTACTTTATCTATTGTTTGATTTTGCTTATTAATTGGTAATTGGAGTTACCTCCGAGTTACAGAAACGTATGTCTTACTCCATACTTTCAAACACAGGTGAAGAGAGCATGAGAAGGTCAGGAAAGGAATTGAGGAAAGAGTAGCTTCACTTGATAGTAGTATGGCTACCTTTAAGTGAAATGAATGTATGATATGTTGTTAAAATTTGAGTTTCCACTAGGATATATAAGTGGATGTGTATATGAATTGTATAGTGAAATCTTACTTATATATGTATATAATGTTGCATCATGCTAAGGATGCCCTAATGAAGGGTATATGGGCAGGCCTAGATGCCATTCAAGAAAGTTTGTTATATGTAACTTATTTCACTTGTTTATATGTGAATTGATGTGATGATTGTGTTGAATGTGAATTGTATATATATGTGAGAACTTGACACAAATGGTGAGGCGAAGCCCCATTTAGAAGAGTTAAGTATGTATTGATTATTTATCATATGATGAGATGGAGCCCCATATGTGAGAGTTAGAGGGTTGCAAGTAGAACAAATCTAGTTATATATATGTAAATATGTGTTGTATGTGTATTCCTCATATAAATCCACACTTGTGTAATGTGACATTGAGGACAAAATGGATAATTAATTGTTGTGGTTTAAGGTGTCAACCAAGTGTATGTGGTCTTTTTAGACTTGGTTCAAGGCCCGAAGTGGTCTAATAGGACAACGAATAGGAATTGAGTGCGTAGGGTGCAAGTTTTGAAAGAAAAGTAACTTTTCACACCCAGTGTCTAATTTTACATCGAACCTTCAAATTAAGTCCAAAATTATTCCATTAGCTAGTGTATGTTATAAGCTTCATATGAACACTTGAATCACTCCAATTGGACGTTGAATGTGGGAATAGCACGTGGCAAAAGTTCATCTTCCAAGCTATCATATGACAGTAGAAATTGCTATCATATGTGCCGTGGCACACAATATGCTCGCTGCGATGCATGATGTAGATAGGAACAAAGCACATTACTCTATACCACATAATGCAACACATATGGTACACATCGTGATGCATGGCCCTTTTTTTCAAGGTTGAGAAGTTGTATTTTATTGAGTTGTTTATTTATGTTTGTGCTTCCAATAGTCTTCTTCTTTGAATATATATTTTAAGAAGTCAGGAGCCCACGATTTGAAAACAAATAAAAGGATTATTACTCTAATATTACCGTGTTGGTAATTGTTAATGTGTAATTGGAGATGGTAAAGCCTAATTTAAGCTGGGACCTTACACAACCCCTTTATCATTTAGAGATATTTTCACTTCCTTGTGGAAGTGCTTACTATTTGCCTTGGTCTCCTCTAATATGTCAATGGAATGCACAATCTTAAGGTTCTTGAGAGTAGAATTTTCCTCTAATAGCTTGGGGGCCTCTTGGAAATCAAGCTTGAGTGGAGAAAGTTTGTTAGAATTAGCCCTTTTGGTATTGTACCTATATGATAAGAGGAAATACCCTTCTCAAGCTCATCTATTAAGTCATATGTTCTAATGATTACAAAACTAAAAGAAGAGGTGTGTGTTATTTGTGCAGATATAAAAGATCCGTGGATAAGACAACCTTCAAGAACTTGGAGTATAGAGAGCTTATCTTGAGAGAATTTTTCTTTAAATCAAAGTTGAAATCTTGAAAAGAGATTTTTCAAGTGAACTGTAACAACTTGCTTATTATTTCAAGGTTGGTTTAATTGAAACAAGACTAGTTAAGTCCTATGAGTTGTACTGAAGTTGCAAGCATCTGCTTAAGTTTGTGATTATAGTTGAAAATTTTAATGGTGATCTTGAGGACTAGACGTAGGCCAAGTTTCGCATTGAACTAAGATAAATCTTTAGTGTCAAATGCAAAGTCATTAAATAAAAAGGCTGATGAAAATGCAAATACAAGTATATGATTCAATAAAACACAACATTATTCCCCTTAAAAAGTGCCATGTGCCATAGCTCATACCACCATATGCAGTAGCATGTGGTATAGAGCCATAAGCTCTATTCTTCTCTATCTTATGTTTCATGGCATGGCACATAATGTGTCACGACACATGACAGTAAAATCTGCTATCATATGTTAGCTCAGAAGATGAACTTTTGACACACGCCATTTTTACATTCGACGATCGAGTGAAATGATTGAAGCTCCACACGAAGCTTACAATGCATTCTCTCTAATGAGATTAAGTTTGAGCTTGATTCGATGGTCCAAATTAAAATTAGACACTCAAGTGCAAAAAGCTACTTTTTCTTTCAAAACTTGCACCTTAAGTGCTTAATTCTCATTTCTTATCTAATTAGACTGCTCCAACCTTGAATTAAGCCCAAAAAGACTATATACACCTAATTAACTCTTCATAATACAAATATCACATCAAATACTCAATTTAACCTCTCAATGTCACATTACACAACTGTGGACTTATACGAGGCATAAACATGCAATCATATATACACATAAACTTGCTCAACATTCAATTATCCGACTCTCACATATATAAGGCTTTGCCTCGTCATATAGTCGAGAATCACAAATATACTCAACTCTTCCAAATGAGGCTCAGCCTCAACATATGTGTTAAGTTCTCACACATATGCAACTTCACCTGACCATTCATATATATATACACTAGTAGAACAAGTTACATAATAACATACACTTGCTTGATTAGCATCTAGGCCTACCCACATACCCACTACTATGGTACCCTTAGCAAGATGCAATATCACATATCTAGCATGTTTTCATGACACAATTCATATACACATTCACATATTTATATTCATATATATTTATGCATCCTAAATTAAACTCTAAATACAACTTTATACATTCATTCTATATAATTGATAGTCATACCACTATTAAGTGAGACTACTCTTTTCTTGCTTCCTTTTCCGATCTTCTCGTGTTCTCTTCACATAGATACAAAAGTAACGGAGTAAGACATACGTCCCAGTAGCTTAGATATAATCCAAATATCGATTAGTAAGTAAAATCATAAACAATAGATAAAGCAGCATTATTTCAATAAAAGTAATATAATATGCATATATAAAAATTCATCTATATCCATCCATCATACTCATATTCATGCATTTTCAATTCCACCTAGTGGAGCAAGCTCTATGCTCAAATCAAGACTTCAAATCTTACATAAAACAAGGCCCCCCATATGTAACATCCTGTTTTTCTAATCCTGTAATTAGCTATTAATTAGAGATAAATTAGTAATTAGTTAGAGATTAAAGATTTAGATGATTACTTGATAATTTGAATTTTTGGGATATTAAATGAGAAAATATAAGTGAAAGAACCGCATTTCGGTGTGAAGTATCTATGTGCAGTGAGGATTCTCCTCACTATTCAATGTATAGCGACTAATGTTGCTTGTATACCAAAAAGATCAAATCGAACGATTTGAATCCAACCTACCTATGGCATTGTCGTCTCGGCCATATAAATGAGAAACACATTTCTAAGCTCTATCAAGATAGACTTCTCAACTCATTTGAT